TTGATATGAATAAATTATGTTAAATTAAATTGAAACCTAAGAGCTAATCACATCTTGGGGAAATTCAGCTACCAGTCGTTAATCGACCTAACGAGACGGTGCTAATATATAGACAAGATTTTTTATTTTATGCTTCTATTTTATAAAACATGAAAGAAAAAATCAAGAAATGACATTAGACGTATTAACGTACTAGTCCATTAAAACTTTAATTTTCAGTGGTTGGGGATTGACAAAAGGATGGGTGCAAGCAGCACTCAGATCTGTGGAGAGTTGGGTAAAGGAATAAATAACTTTAGCTTTTGAAAAGAAAGGCATTAAAGAACAGGGCAGATAAGTAGACATATCTAGCCGCTGAGGATAAATAGCTTATAAATAAAAGTAACTAAATATAGTGAAAATGAAATAGTGGGCGAAACCAAGATAGATTTTGAATGACTAAGGCAAAAAAGCTCACCCTATAATCGATTAATTTAAAAAAGATACTTTCAAAGCAAAGGATTTTGAAAAAAGCAATCTTCAACTTGACATTACCTAATTTAGGCTCAAAGACAATTGAGGACAGGAACTTTACAACTTTAGGCAAACGAATGAAGAATACCGGTGGCAGTGCTCAGTGAAGAAGTTAATAAGCTCTGCTAAAAAGCAACAAATAATCTGAGCCTTACACGTGAAATTTCCACGAAGTTTAAAGTTTTAGGATGAAAAAAATACTTTGGCATACATAACAAAGATACATAGTGATCATAAAATTATTAGGATAATGTAAAGTTCAACGATATTAAATGACGACCTACATTCCAAATTGTGAACTACAAATATATAGAAGTTAAGTGGCACTGTTCTTAATATAATGACCAGGAATTGCTAAAAAGTAATATCGTCATGTCTAATAAGTATTTTTGAAAATCTAAAAAAAGATTAAAGTAAAAAGATTCCTTTTGGATTTCATATATTTCAGGACCGCGTCTATTTCTGAAGATATAGGAATTTAACTATTTAGCACAGGGCAAGCGTAGAGAAAACATGTTAATATCCTAGAAATAGAATGATATAATAAAAGATCTATCATTCCTATATTCTGAGAAACCCTAAGCATCTATTTAATAGGAAAGTTAAACAGTATAAAAATTAGAAGTTATTTGGCCTTGTCTTCGAAAGTTGGTCATATTGGTAGAAAGACCTACAGGAACGCACCTAGTCCGGAGTCCCCTGTATGCATGATCATTTCCAGTCGGACCGTAGATGTTTTACATTCCCAGACGCTTGCCAGCATCGTCAGTGAGTCTTGCCAGTCTTAGCACCACGCTAAAACTCGTCAAAGAGAAAAGTAAAGCCGAACCTTTGACCAAACGTGTGCTAAACAGTTGTGGTATCTATCCTTTTGCTCTGGCCTATTCACATTTCCAATATCCCCGTATCACGCATTCAATGTTAAATTGTTTTAAAGTGCTTATTTAGATGTAGTGTAATGTACCCTTTTGAGCGGCGTTCATAAAAACCCTCCACACTCCGCAATGGTGTTCTCACTCCGCATTCACCCTTGTGCTGGGAATGTTCATCAAAGTCAGCCGTATTGTTACGCAGTCCTCCCTCCCTATGTCTTAGCAGTCTGCCTCTTGCCCCGTAGAATCCGTCTGCTAACGCCCTGGTTCAAGTATTTCACTCGATCTCTGCCACCCCATCTGTGCTACTCTAGGCGTTATTTCCCACACTCTGCGTCTGAGTGACTAATTCGAAACAAGAGGTTCTGAGTAAGTCTCATGGTTAAGCCTTTGCTATATGGACCGCGTCTCTGGTAAAACTTACGGTCAGCCAACTAGCTCCAGTCTCCGCTGCGTCTATCCTGTTTCTAACCCTAATGTAAAGTCTATGATTTGCTATGCCAACCTACAAATGTTGTGGTACTACTTGCTTTGATTAGGTTCAATGTTGGACCACATTTTCAGCACAAGGGAGAAGGGGGGGTGAGAACGCGAGCGTAGAATGTTTGGAATGTAAAAAATTGTAACAGTGAAGGCGTAATACGAGGATAAAGGAAATGTAAATAGCCCAAAGCAGGAGAGATACCACAATGATTTAGCAAACGTTTGGTCAAATGATCGGCTTCACTTGTCTCTTTGATGAGTTGTAGCGTGGTGCTAGGAAAGTCAAGACTTACGGAATATGCTGGCGAAACGTCTGGGAATTTATTACGTTCACTGTCAGACTTTGGAAATGAACATATATACAATGGACTCCGGACTAGGTGCGTTCCTCTAAGTCTTCATACCAATATGACCAAGTTGCGAAAGCAATGTCAAACAACTTCTATACAACGAAATAAGACTGCGACCACAAAAAAGGCCACGCCATCTTGGTCTTCATATCTTCGAGTATAAAAGTTATTTGACCACGTTCTCCCAAATTGGTCATATTGACAGAAAGAGCTATATGAGCGCACCTTATCTAGAGTCCATAGTATGCATGATAATTTCCAGTCGGATCGTGAAATTGGTACATTTCAAGTCGTTTCGCCGGCATCGTCAGTGAGCCTTGCAACTCTTAGTACCACACTGCAACTCGTCAAAGAGACAAGTGAAGTCGATTCTTTGAGCAATTGTGTGCTAAACTGTTTTGGTATCTCCTCTTCTGCCCAAACAATATCGCAATTTCAATGATTCGAGGATATTGGATAGGTGAATACCCCAGAAAAGGAGAGATAGCTCAACTACTTAGCAAATAATTGGCCAAGGGATCGACTTCACTTGTATCATTGACGAGTTGCAGTGTGGCGTTAGGAGTTGAAAAGCTCACTGACGATGCCGGCGAAACGGCTGGGAATGTACCAAAAAAAGTATGCATGCATAAGGACATTGGAACGTATACATAAAGCATAAGAACTGCTATGGATGGGTAAATAAAATAACTCCAAAGGATCTAGCTCAATATAAAGTAACCTATAGCGAATAAGGCATAGAGACTATGAGAAGCTGAAGCAAAAGCCACCCCATTTTTTTGAGATATGGAGGGCAGCTAATTAAAAACAAGAGATATGAGGACAAGACTCAGGCTTAAACTAAAATATCAGGAGACAAACTCACGCAGGGGCACTTAAACCGTCTGAAACACTCAAATGAGCCATCTTGAGGCCACTTGAAAATGTCTCCGGCGTAACTTCTCCGTTTGGAAGGTTGTTAACAGCTCCAGGAATCGGTGTTGTTGAGGTGCTGCTGCTCGGAGTAAGCTCATTAGTGTTGCTGCTGTTATTGTTGCGATTGACATGGCTCGGATCAATAGAAGAGATAGTATGCCGTTCTCGATGTTGTTGGTGCTGTTGGTGCTGTGATGAACTAGATCCAGACCCAGAGACCGGTAAGACGGAGGAAATGACACTGAGACTAGGGGTGACAGCAGTCAAACGGGCTATCAAGCCATCACCCTGAGCTATAATCGAGTAGATATGAGAATAGAAGTAAACATATAGAGACTGATAAAAATGGCAGTAAAATAATAAAATAGATAAAAGCAGAGCGTAGTGTGCTTGTCAACGATCATAAAATGTAAGACAAGAAATGCTGGTTTGCATGTCATTTGAAGGCTCCGAGGATCAATCAATAGTTGTTTGAGAACCTTTTAAGAGGCAAGGCTAAGCAAAGTTCAATGGTATCACGAGGTATACCCATCTAATTGTGGGAAACTCAACTATCAGTCCTAGGCTTAGTTCATCTTATAGAATTATTGATAGTATCGTAACGTAAATTAAGAAATGTCAAGTAAAATGTGAAACTCATGATTGCAACAACTATGAGTTAGCAGTGGCCTAGTTTGCCTCTACCCTGTGATTCAGTCATATGTGGCTGTGTATTGGAGTGATAAGGTCGCAACGATACTCACCACCTAGTATTGAATCCCGTTGATGCTTTTAACAAACCTAGGAGAAGGCGAAACTTAAGAACATTCCGGATAAAAGAACCTTTTGAGAAGCATCGCTAAGACACATCCATTCTCGTTATAAAGCCTATTATCTCATTTTGTGGAAAATTCAACTACCAGTCTTGTAATAACTTTAAGTTACTAGGCTATTAATTATAAAAGAGTATAACCGTAGTCATTGACCATCAAGGTTTAATGACTCAGGAATAAGCGTAACTGTATATCAATGAAAAAAGGATTCCCAATAATTCATTGGTGAGTTAGTGAGACTCGAATTTTCATTTCGAAGAAAAAGTTGGTTAGTAGAAATTAGTACAATGGTTATATCGGAAAGCAGAAGATTGTCTTTGAGTGAAGATTGATGGATTGTGCGAAGAAACTGTTGGCTCAAAATCCTCCTACTCCGAGCACGTGCTAGCCTTTCGTTTGCCATGTGAGTGTCATCATAAAAGGAAGTCACACTTGATTATAAGCACGTAAATACCAAACCAAGAGAAAAGATAACTGGATATAAGCCTAGTCAATTCCTATGGCTAATTTTTTTATCCGAATACGTCATTGTATGGCTTAGCTAACTTCTTCATGTCTGGCCTACATTCTTGCAGATGGATTAATTCCTTATTCAAAACTTCATTTGGAGAAAGAAATTAATTAAATGTAAATAAATCGAGATGTTTTGTGTTGCGCTAACCAAATTAAGTACACTGATCCAAAGTGTGATGTCATTCTTATTAATTTTAGACGTATTATAGATTTTTGGGGAATAGTATGTTGCTGGGGAAGTAACACCATTTTACACTTTTCCAGTTCTCCGCTATTTAGTTGGAAGAAACCATAAAGGTCTTCGGTCGGGTCCATAATCGTAGTCCTATATGGTTTTTAATCATCTAGAGCTTGCACCATATTCCCTATATTCAGTCTATTCATAAGTATTATTGCCCCTACTTTGTCTGTTCTAAATACTAATTGATTATTTTTTTAAGTTTTATTGTAATGGTATAATTTCGCTAATCTTATATGGAGGTTCTCCTTAGCCATTGTCTAAAGGGAGAGCCCGTAGTTCAATGTCGCACCCAGTATCCTCCGAAAAACTATCTCTTAAAATTATTACTTCTATCAGCATTTCCTTCTCGAAGAAATTATTACCACAAATTGGCTAATTGGAAATGTTCAGTAAAGTTTTGAACAGGTTTGCCACATTTTAACAGACTTTGCTTCCTTAAGTTGATAATAAAATCCAAATATTTAGTCATTATCTTGTTTACTTCACTTATATATAAAATCTTTGTCGTACAAGTTTAGTAATAGAAATACCATTTCAAAATTGGTAAAGTAA